GCTGTGATAGGGGTCGGCATCAAAATGGAAAATATGAATTAGAGGGTTGTACTCAGCAAAAATTTTCCTTATTGGAAATGTTGTGCTTCGCATTCACATCTTGCGAAGGGGCGCTGTTTGCACGTTTTCTACACACGCTGCATGCACGGTAACTGGTCGCGCAGCTGGTTCGCTGCGGGTGATGGGGCGTGGCCGGCGCGATGGGTTGGTGTCGAGCCAAACCCGAACAACCAACTGTTGAAGGGGGTAAGAGGCAAGAATTGGTGGAAACGACTGATACAAACGATATGATATAGTGTTTTGGCTTGCTTGCCTTGACAACTGGTGGAAAATGGGTTCGGCTCCGCGCTGAACCCACCTCGTCGGCCATGCTCCATTATCTGCCGCGAACATAAATGTCTCCCGAGGTAGATTATACCGACTACAGATTTTCTGCTTTTCTTAATCAGTCAAGTGTTAGAAAAGGAAATTCAGGTTGGGGAAGCCAGGCGGACAAACGGGTGATCTCTGATTTCGAGATTCTCAACGTTTCCAGTCATCTTACTTACTATTCAAACGGTGAAATATCGGTGGTCGAACCGGCCACGGCGACTGAAATGGCAGCAACATGGTGAGAGTTTCGGTTCCCTTGAGCTTTAAGCGTGAACATTTTGTACAAGTGTTGATAAGTTATTAAATTTGAGGTCCGTCCTACACACCACGATATATTTCCAACGGCATAGTGTGATGTTTGGTGTCTGTATGCTTCTTCCATGTTTGGTAAGTCAAGTATTTGTGAAATCCACAGGCCTTAGCTCTTATATAAGAGCAGGGGACTCAATGTACAAACAGCACTCTTTACTCTTGACAATGCACCTCTGAAGAGGAGAGAAAGATCAAAAGGTCTTCAGAAAATGTCCATGTGTTGGGTTAAAGACAGCCCCCGCGCTCAAGTAGTCCATGGTCGTCCTTCCTTGTGCAGGTAGTTCAGCCCCAAGCTAGATGCTGTCCCACTCTCGCAACTCCACAGTGAGCGAGGAGCGAGCTACAGCCGCTCAAAGTTCTAGTTCTAACGCCCGCTCAGTTGGCCCACTTGCTAGATGCCCTCTGACGGAGAGCCGCTCAGTTGTTCTTTGTTGGGACGGCGGGCATTAATCGGAACTGCATGTACTTTTTGCTGACCGCGCTCGTGCCCATAAATAATTCTGCTCTCCTTCATCACATTTTTCATTGGGAGCACATACAGTCAACTGCAACCCATCTCGTAAGGTAAAACGCGTAAAAATCACGAATGATGCAATTTCTGTGGTGCAAAAGCTCGACTAGCAACATGCACTAAAAGCCGCTCGCTACCGTAACCCAAATTCGGACGTGTTCTTTGAAAGTTTTTTTTTGCCTTTCAGGAGTTTTTCCTTCCGTTTGTTGTTTTTTCGTATTCTTTGTTCGCATCAAAAAGATACCCACTACTGGAGATGTAAAGAATGGGATTTGTGAGCAGGGTTGCCATACGGACCGCAGTGGCGTGTAACTGTAAGAGGGAGCAATTTTTATTGTGATGTGCTGAGGCTCTATGTTGCTTCTTCCTTCACTGAGGAATTACTTAAGGAGCTACGTTTCAAAAATTGAAAAGGGCAACTAATGCATGAACCACCTTTATGCGAGCTGTCTTTAACAGGCCTCGGTTATCGAAGCGTATCAGTGCCTTCCAGCCAGAAGATGAGGCCGGAGATGAAGCCTCAAGGTCAGAGATAGGCTAATTCACTCCATCATTTCCGCGCCGACTGCACCGCTACTATATTCGTGCCTGCATCTCTTTCTACACGCGCTTTGAGGCGAAAAACACTTAATCACAGCACTTCGCCTTCATATGTTAATGACACAAACCAGTGTGTGCTCTAGATTGGACTTACAATTATGATGGTAGTTCAGGACAGATTTATCTCAAAAGATGTCATACGTACGAGTATGTTGTTACTTGTATTGGCAGCAGTTCGCGTTCCCGAAGATATACAAGGACTAATGGGTTTTAAGCAAAAGGTTTGACAGTCAGAATAGAGAGACTTGAACCAGGCGCACGTCAGCTTTGGCGTCTTGAAACCTGCTACAATCTTTCCCATGTCAGCAACTTTTTTCATGATTCAGCAACCGTATGATAATTGTCTCTTCCCTTCAATTCAGGTCTCAGCAGCCTTCAACATTCTCCCATTCTTCCTAACTTCACTCAACTACTCTGTTTACACACTACTTTCCAATGTGATCATACAAGTATGTCAGAAAGATTGAACTTTTGCCACGTTGCTAACTGAACACTTCAAAACTGCTTTAGGCCATATTTCTTCAAGAGATGGTGAACGGCATGCCTTTGTCTGCTAATCGAGTGCCTAAATCAGGTAAGCGTTGCTGTAATACCTGAAAAGATTCATCCATGAGGAAAGATTTTGCAACGAATCTCAGAGTGAACTTGACGCATATGACCAAGATTCATAAACGCCCTCAATTTTCGCTGAAAGCATTAAATTTCCTTGCTCAGTTGACACTGCGGGGATGGTAAACAGCTGGTGATTTAAAGACAGTTGGAACGATATTTTTTCAATTGTTCCTAAATGCTAGCAGGGCGCCATATAGTGGGGAAAATGGCGAAAAAACGAAGTGAAACGGTCAAAAACCTGCGAAGAAAAACCTTCGTCCTTAATGACAATTTCGGACGAGTTTCCCGTAGGCATCTTGCCAATCACCGCTACCGAAGATACGGCTGCATATGTGTACCCATATATCCATGCAGCATCGCAGCCGCTTCATACC